CGTGGCTGCCAAGCTCGTCATCCAATGGAGACTTGCTCTCTTCTCGAAGTCGGCTTTCTCCGCATGGCCGAACGCCTCGACGAACGTGTCTGGGAAAACTTCCAGCGCGAACTCGGCTGCGTCCAGAGCGCCGCTGCCGTCCCTGTCCATGTGCTCAAACAGAGCGACGATCCGATCCTCGGAGAGTCCGATCTTCATCTCCTTCACCAGCTCGCAGAACTCGTCGAGCTCGAGCACCCCGTTGTCGTCATAGTCGACAATCTTGAACAACATCGGGATGTCATGAGCTGTGTAGCCCCACTGGTGCAGCCTCGCCCGCGTTTTCGACAGCAGCAGCGAGTAGTCCCTCGCGTTCCAGACCTCGTTGAACTGCATTCCGATGATGCCCACGGGAACGGCCATCAACATAACCCCGATAATGATCAAGATCATTACTATTGTGATTCCTGCTGTGGTCACGGGGGAATAGTCGCCGTAGCCGACTGTGGTGACGGTCACAAGGCAGAACCACACTGCCCGGAAGGGCGACTCGAAAAGATCAGGCTCCACGAGGTATATGAGGGTGGCAAAGGTCATAGTGATCAAGGCCACAGCGTACAGGAGCATCGGGAGGGCCTCCATTGTCATCTTCACCGCCTGGAGAAGTACGTTGAAGGTTTCGAAGTGCCGTATGATCTTCAATAACCGAAGGATCGGCACAAAGCACAGCAGGAAGATCGCAATCGAGTCGTCCTGGCTCTGTATCTGTGGGAGCACGAAGCCCGCCGCTGCCCGCACCGCGACCGCGCTCGCGGCTGCGATGTCGATCCACGAGTGGGTGATGAAGAAGAAATTCACCTTGTTCGGTGCACAGCACCAGCGAGTGCAGACCTCGGGTCGGGCGACAGGGGGGGATAGCAAAGGGGAGGGGGTTTGAGAGTCAGCTCACGCAGCTGACTTTCCCCGGCGCCTCCCGGCGCCGGAGGCGGCTATGCATCGAGGAATGGGCCCCTCGGTGGGGCCGAACCCAGCTGCATGCAGCAAATTTCGTACCCCCTCTTTCCGAATCCCTTGGCGGCGCGCACAAGGGGGTGGAGGGAGGGGGGAGGGCTTCTTAGAAGGAGGCTGCTTCTTAGAAGGCGCTGGCCTTACACCTATAGAAAAGGCCCGCGCCTTCCAAGATGCAGGGGTGCTACTAAGAAGCCCTCCCCCCTCCCCCCACCCCCCTCTGCGCGTGGCTGAATCCCCCCTTTCGTCCGGCCCGAAGACCTCCGTCAGAAACACGAGGTCGATGACCGTCTCGACGATGGCGGCCGGCCATCCTTGCAGGAGCGGGTCCTCCACCGTCTGCATCAAGGTGAACAACACGCTGAGGAGCACGAGCGCCTGCAGGCACAAGGCTGTCCACCAGGCCACCTTTGAAGGGGAACTGGGACACACACACACACACACATATATTTTATATATATATATAAATATATATATATATATATTTATATATATATACATGTGTATATATATATATAATACACACAAATAACCAGATTTCCCAGAAATTCCAATCTTTTCTGGGTTTTTGTCTTCCCCCCACGTCCCATATTTTCCTATATTTTCTGGGGAATCGACGATTCAGTGTGTCTGTGTGTTTCTTTCCCTCCTGAACCTTGCTTGACTGGGGGTCGTCTAAAATCGTATAGATGTAGTCCACCGCCTGGTACCGGTTGCTCCTCATCGCTTTGGGAAGCGACTGGATACGCTGCTGCACGTGCGCAAGGTCCTTGCTCGCAGACTTCTCGTACATCCTCCTGGCCAGAAACTGGTTCTTGAACATGGTGGGCACCGACTGCTGTGAGCCATGGCCCCGCAACTTCCTCTCGGGTCGGGCGAAAGGGGGGGATAGCAAAGGGGGGGTTTGAGAATCAGCTCACGTAGCTGATTTTCCCAGCGCCTCCCGGCGCCAGAAGCGGCAATGTATCGAGGAATGGGCCCCTCGGTGGGGCCGAAACCAGCTGCATGCAGCAAATTTCGTAACCCCCCCTCCCAATCCCCCCCCTTTCGCCCGGCCCGATCCTCGGGAGCGGCCAAGAGGGGGGTGTGGAGCGGCCAAGAGGGGGGTGTCCAAGGGGGGGGTGCAAATCATGGCCGGCGGCACGTGCGCGGCCCAGCGGGGGGGCCCAGGGAGACGTCATTAAAAACAAGCGGAGGGCGCCCGGAGAGCTCGGGAAAAAGCATGGCCCCCGCCATGATATCCACCCCCCCCCAATGCGGGATGACGATTAATAATAAAATGGGAGAGAACGACTAAACACATAGTGTTTTTTTTTTCTGCTATGTCTGCATCATTTTCTGACCGGAGGAGAACGATTACAACAAATAGCCCGCCATGATATCCCCCCCCTAATGCGGGATGACGATTAATTAAAAGATGGGAGAGAACAATTAAAAAACATAGTTTTTTCTGTTATCTCTGCAGCATTTTCTGGCCGGAGGAGAACGATTACCACAAATATAGCTTTCCAGCCCGCGGCCGGTTACTTCTATCCGTCATCCCGGGCGCCGCCGCGTGCACACGACCCCCAGTCATTTTATAAATCGTCATCCTCCATTAGTCATTAGGGAGCCCACAAAGGACGTACGCGCCCAGCTATGTACATGAACACGGCCCCTCGATTCGCGAGACCGCCCGCGTTATACGAACATTTGTGCAACGCGTGCTCTCGAAACCAGCGTGGATTCATGTACATGTACGTCCTTCTCCTCCTCCTCCTCCTCCTCCTCCTCCTCCTCCTCCTCCTCCTCCTCCTCCTCCCTCCCTCCCTCCCTCCCTCCCTCCCTCCCTCCCTCCCTCCCTCCCTCCCTCCCTCCCTCCCTCCCTCCATCCCTCCCTCCCTCCCTCCTCCCTCCTCCCCCTCCTCCTCCTCCCCCCTCCTCCCTCCTCTCCTCCTCCTCCTCCTCCTCCTCCTCCTCCTCCTCCTCCTCCTCCTCCTCCTCCTCTCCTCCTCCTCCTCCTCTCCTCCTCCTCCTCCTCCTCCTCCATCTCCCTCCTCCCTCCCTCCTCCTCCTCCTCCTCCTCCTCCTCCTCCTCCTCCTCCTCCTCTCCTCCTCCTCCTCCTCCTCCTCCTCCTCCTCCTCCTCCTCCTCCTCCTCCTCCTCCTCCTCCTCCTCCTCCGCCTCCTCCTCCTCCTCCCTCCTCCTCCTCCTCCTCCTCCTCCTCCTCCTCCCTCTTTGCCGCCCCCGCAGCTTCCTCGTCAGCGACCCCGACCGGCCCGGGATCGCCCACGGCGACGCGGCCGCCCCGGGCCGCTTGCTCAGGTTCGGGATGAGCGTGCCGCCCTCGGAGAAGGCCCGGTTCGACCCTCGCGGCCCGGCCCCCAGGCTCACGCCCAGGCTCGTGCCGCTGGAGCCCGCCCTCGAGGCCCGCGGCGGCATGCGCGAGGCGGGGTGGCTCAGCTGGCCGCTCACCTAGGGGAGGTCTTCGCCGGAAGCGGAGGAGGAGGGGGAGGAGGAGGAGGAGGAGGAGGAGGAGGAGGAGGAGGAGGAGGAGGGGAGGGGAGGGGGGAGGAGGAGGGGAGGAGGAGGAGGAGGAGGAGGAGGAAGGAGGAGGAGAGAGGAGGAGGAGGAGGAGGAGGAGGGGGAGGGGAGGGGGAGGGGGAGAGGGGGAGGAGGGGGAGGGGGAGGGGGAGGGAATAACCAGCCTCGAAATAACCAGCCTCGAACGTATCCCTATCCCCAAGATTGACAAGCCAAAAGGCGATGACAATCTCAGGGATTCGCCCCAAAAAAGAAGGGAATCCCTAAGATTGGCAGCGAACGAGGCGATGCCGAACATAGGGATAGGGATATGTTCCAGGCTGGTAAGGGAGGTCTTCGCCGAAAGTGGAGGGGCAGCTACCGACGGAGTTAGGAACGGCCGCGCGAAAAACCGGTCGGCATGGAGGAGCGCCTGCATGAGGCAGGTACCACCAACATGTTTGCTGTACCGACCGCGAATCCGGGGGGCGTTCGACCGTCCCAGCATAGTCTATAGGCCTACCACGACATGTTCTTAGATTCAAAAAATGTTCGAAAAACAAAACCATGTTCTTAGAACATTACCCCGAAGTGTGAAAACAAGACAGACTCGGCCCGAAATGTTCTCAGAACACCCCGCGCAAACCACAAAAGGTTCTTAGAGCATTGTTTGGTAGGCCTATAGGCCAGCCGAGGCGCTTCGCCACTGCTTCGTTCTCCTCCTCCGAGGCTGGGGAGGGCGCCTTGGGAGCCCCCAAACCAGGTGGTGAGATATCAGGTGGTGACCTGGAATCCCCAAAAAGTCACCCCCGGGTTTTGGGACACGGGCTCACCGCCGAGTCTTGTGACTCCTGGGCCCACCAGCGTTCGGGACATCCTCGAACAAGCGCATGAGTCCCCAAACCGGGTGGTGACACCAAATCGCCCGAGACTCACCGCCAGGTGTTGTCACTACCACGTTTGGGGATTACCAATGACCGGCTGGCTCCCGGCCGCCGCCTGGTCGAGGGAGTCCTGGGAGCGGGACAGGCGGGGCGGCCGGCTGCCGCTGCCGCGCCCGTGGCCCGCGGGCGGCGTCGCGTGGACCACCGCCGGGGGCTCGATGCTGCGCAGGCCGCCTGGCGAGGACCCCCGGGGCCCCCGGACTGCCAACGGGTCTCGGCAACAGGAAACAAGGTGGGCGCTTTTCATTCGTCGGGGATGGACAGACCTCCCTTTAGTAAAACGTGGTTTAGTGAAAACGACCTGAGGCACAAACCTGGCGGGCGCAAGCCTGGAAAATAACGGCCACGGCGCCCCCTCGAGAACCGAAAACGGACAATTCACTGATCGACGTGTCACTGTTGGGGGTTCTGTCCACCCCCGAATTCGGCGTTTCAACATTGGGCGGTAGGGGGGGGAGGGGGGGGGTCTGGATCCGGAGCTCTGCTCAACGCGACTGTTTGCAGCGGGGCGTCCATCATGGGGGAGGCCCCACCTGCTCGGAACAGGCGCCCCAAACAGCCAAGATCTACTCCGTGAGGGGGGTGAGGTGAAGGGGGGGGGGGCGAGGGCCCGCGCCGAGCGGCAAACCAAGGAATCAGAAAACGAGCATAGTAAGACGGGCGCTATCTCGCACCGCTCCCGGCCTCCTGCGGCCGCTCCGGGGACCCCGGGGCCCTTAGCAAAAATAGGTCGGGGAAGGCAAACGTAAGAGGGCCCGGGGACGCGCAAACAAAAAGACAAGCAAATCCCAGGATCCCCCATGTTTTCCGATTTGTTTCTGGGTTGTCGTCTCCCCCCCTCCCCACTTCCCAGATTTTCCCATATTTGTTCTGGGTTTTCGTCTCCCCCCCCACACTTCCTATATTTTCCCATCTTTTCTGGGGACTCGACGGTTGCTTGTGCCTGTGCTTTTCCCCCTCCTGCAAGCTGGGGGTCGAGGGCTCCAGAGCCCGCCCCTCGACAGGACGAGGCCGGATGTCGGAGGGCTGGGCAGTTCTGAAGGTGCCCCGGGACACACAAACCAATAGACACAAATGACAGGATTCCTTCCCCTCCTCCTCCTCCTCCTCCTCCTCCTCCTCCTCCTCCTCCTAATCCTCCTCCTCCTCCTCCTCCTCCGCCATCCTCCGCCATCCTCCGCCATCTTCCGCCGTCCTCCGCCCTCCTCCGCCCTCCATGTGTTCCAGGATTCCATCTGTCTTCCCATATGTTTCAGGATTCCATATGCTAACACATAGAAGCAGACAGCAGGATTCCATCTGTTTGCCCATCTGTTCTGGGTCTTTGTCTTCCCCCCCACTTCCCCCATCGACAAGACAAAGGTGGATGTCGGAGGGCCGGGTAGTTCTGGAGGTGCCCCGGGACACACAAACAACTAGACACACATTAACAGGATTACATGAGCTTGCCCATGTGTTCTGGGCCTTTGTCTTCCCTCTTCCCCCCCACACTTCCCATGTGTTCCCATCTTTTCTGTGGAACCGACGACTCACTGTGTCCGCGTGTTTTTGTCCCTCCTGAAGTTACCCTGGTGGGAGAGCAGAGGGGAGCACCAAAGGAGGTGTGACCGAACCTCCGTGTAGCTGACTTGTCGGGCGCCTCGGGTCTGGGAGCGGCCCCGTCGAGGAACGTGCCCGGCGATGGCGACAAGACCAGCCGAATGCGGCTGGTTTTTCGTCCCCCCCCCGGTTGCCCCGAGTATAGGGGGCCACCTGCGAGCCCTACAGTCGGAGCGTTGACCCAAGGAACCCTAAATAAGGAACGAGGCCCCTTTCATCCACAAGTTGAACTTCGGTTTCCCATCGAAAACCAAAGGAAAACTCAAGGCAAACTGTGAAGCAATCAAGGAACACGGAGCCCCTCCCCAACGAAAAGGGTTCCTTCTTCAGGGCCCCGACTGTACTTCCCCTCCGAAATCGTGCGGGGCATAGGGGTGAGGCTCGCATGTGGCCCCCTGCCGCGGGAACTTGCTCCGAACGCCACCTGCGCCGAGGCTGGCTGGGCCCACCCCGGGCCCCGGACCTGTGGATGCGCCTCCCAGCCTGGCCAGACCGCCGAAGGTCCCAGTGGCACAGCTCGCATGCGTCCCAGCCACTCATGTCGGCACACCCCTCACACGGTTCGTGGCCCCATAGGAGCTCCGCCGAAGGTCCCAGTGGCACAGCTCGCATGCGTCCCCGCCACTCATTTCGGCACACCCCTCACACGGTTCGTGGCCCCATAGGGAACTCCACCGAAGGTCCCCGTGGCGCAGTCCGCATGCGTCCCCCTCACCCAGTACAGCGATTCGTGGCCCCATATGGAGCCCCACCGAAGGTCCCCGCGGCGCAGTCCGCATTGTGTTGTTCGTTTTCGTACGCGTTGTGTACCACGCCACTGAATTCGGCACACCCCTAGCACGGATCGTTGCCTCATAGGGATCACCACCGAAAAAGTGAATCACAATTGCGGTACTCACACCTGCATATGGTTGGGTCCTTCGTCAGGCGAATTGTGTTGTTTTAAATCCCCATGCTGTTTTTCCATGTTCGAATATTCCCCCTGTAAAGGGACAGGCCCGACCTAACTCTAGATGTTATGTCTGTTGCTGTATGTTGTGGGTTGAGTCGATCTGTGATGCTCCTGGGGCCCAACAGCGGGCGAGCACGCCCAGTGTCAACAAAAATGCACCTGCAAGATCTCACGCGTGGTTGACCGATTTTCCATGACCACCACCATAGGTAGGAGAGGGAGGAGGAGGAGGAGGAGGAGGAGGAGGAGGAGGAGGAGGAGGAGTCGGAGGAGAGGACGGGGGAGGAGGAGGGGGAGGAGGAGGAGGAGGAGGAGGAGGAGGGAGGAGGAGGAGGAGGAGGAGGAGGAGGAGGAGGACGGAGAAGGAGAAGACGGAGGAGACGGACGAGGAGAGGGAGGAGGAGGAGACGGAGGAGCAGGAGAGGGAGGAGGAGGAGGAGAAGGAGGAGGAGGAGGAGGAGACGGAGGAGGCGGAGGAGGAGAGGGAGGAGGAGGAGACGGAGGAGCAGGGGAGGGAGAAGGAGGAGGAGGAGGTTGGCCCACCAGCGCGCGAGCGCCCCCCCGGGCAGCAGCAGCAGCAGCAGCGGCGGGAGAGCGGCAGGACCGCTGAGGGGCCTTCGTCGGCGCTCCGGCGGAGGGTGCCGGCCCCGTGCTCGGCGTCCGCGGAGGCGGCGCTCCGGGCGGAGGCCCGGTGGTCTCCGGGGCTCTTGGCGGAGGGCTGCAAGTGGCTCCCGGGCAGCGCAGGGGGGTCGTCGTGTCTGTCGCGGCGCAGGTCGGCCGTGATCTCGGGCGAGGGGGGGAAGGAAGAAAAAGGGGGAGGGCCTTCCCCGCTCCCTTCTCCCTCTCCCTCCTGCCCCTCTCGCCCAGCGCCCCGCAGGATTCCGCCGTCGCGACCTCCCCCTTCGCATGCGCCGTTCCTCCAGCCCGACCTCACCCACACCACCACCTCTACATCGTCTCGCGCCCGCCTCGATGCGTACTCTTGGATATACTCGGAGCCCCCTTAGCCCTGTCAGTCTGGTAGCGGCCCGAAGCGCGCCCTTCCGCCCTAACTGACACCAAACCAACGCAATGTCGACACGGTCCTTTCAGCACGGACGTTGTTGCCGTCGACGGTGCAGAATGCGAGGCTGGAGTAGGACGCGGCGCCCATCGCACCCGAAAGCGCGGCAGGAGATTCGCCTCAGCGACGCGCGCAGTGTTTCTGCGAGTTGCGCTCCCGCTGGTGTGGGCTGAGCACATTTCTCGCTCGCCAGCTTGTCGGCAGAGGAGTCGCTTGCGAGCGAGCGAATGTGCGCGACTACCACTCGCCAAGTCAACGAACCACGAGCGCAAGCGCGCCTTTCGTTCGCAACGTGTGGGAGCGCGCAATGAACCGGATACCCGATTGCTCCAGCATGAATTCTCAGATTCTGGGAGGGAGGGCGGCAAATGGCATGGCCCGCTGACTCGCTCGAGCATGCCAGCTTGGTTGACATCCAGCCCCGTTCCTCCTCCAGCTCGCCCTGAAGGAGCGAAAGAGGGAAAGGGGGAAAGGATGGGGGAGGAGAACGTCGGTGGAGAGGCGACAAGGGGCCCGTGTCCTTGGCTCGAGAGATGATCCAGTCGAGCTTGTCGTCGATCTTATCCAGGCGCCCCGAGAGCTCCTCTCCGAGGCCAGAACTTGTACATATCCCACGCCTGGGGAACCGCTGTACCAGGGCCCCAGGAGGCAGTGATGTGGAAATCTTCGGCCCCCCCTGACGCCCGAACAACTCTACCCAAATCCGCCGCGTCCGCTGGGAAGCTGGTGCCCGGGACGGTGAGCCCGTATCCGCCACCGCGATTCAGCACGCAGTGGGACTTCTTCGGGCCCCTTCGATAGAGTCCTCTGTGTCGACCGGTTCCCGAGACAGTGCTTGCCTCATGGGGGCACTGCTGGTTCTCTAAGGCATTCGGCGTGGCTGTTGGTCCGTCGGCCGTCGTCGTCGCCCATCGTTTGGGCCTGGCTGGCGGTGTGACGGCGCCGTCCTCGCCGTCGCCGCCCCGTCGCCGCCCCGTCGTCTGGGCCTGTCTGGCGCGCTGGCCGCTGTGTCGTCGCCGTCGCCGCCCCGTCGCCGCCTCGCCGCCGCCCCGCTGCACCCCCCTTTTTTCACATGCTGCACACGTCTTGGACCACACCAACTCTCCTCTCTAGAACGGATATAGAATCTACCCCCACCCAGGGTTTATCGGCATCCCGAATATTTGTTGACACACGATTCTGCCCCACCGCTGACTTTAAATATATGAACTATACCCTCCCAGGGGATAGATACCCTCATCGCACCCCAAATCCCTGTCGAAAAAAACGATTCGCGCGCATTCGTGCGTTAAAACGTCGACATTCTTATGCTCTGCAACATGTGAAGACAATCCACAAGCGGGCGTCGTCGCGCACGACTGTCGGAACTTTGTGTTGTTGGTACTCGGGTTTCGCAAGGATTCCAAGCCGATGTCCCTGGTCGCACAGTTCACAAAGCGCGCGACGAGATATCGCGGATCCTTCGGGACCATATATGTTTCAACATTTTCGCCAAATTCAACAACACACGCGGGCCTCTCGCGCGCTCATGCCAAAATCACTCGAACGCGACTGCTGGGGGGGTGGGGGCGCGATCTCACTCGAATGCGAAATACCATGGCGACCACTCGCGCGCGTAGGCCGCGCGCGCATGTCGAAATTCTGCCGACACTGTCATCAACGACACATGGACATCATCATCGGTATGGGGCGTGACCAGCGTCATTGGTCCCAAAGCCGTCATGATCGGCTCCGTCATTAGTTTTGACGCCGTCACAGTCGTCACCACCACCGCTACCATCAGTATCACCCGCTGCCGACATCACATGATACCGCGCCCGCCCGAGTCACCGACCCGCACGGACATGCCCAGGCGCCAGCGCAATCTGTGAGACGCGCTGGGACGTCCCAACCGGTCAGCACTACAACGGCGGCGTCGGTAGCGCCAGACTAGCTAGCCAGCCGCAGCGATGCGCCAGCCAGCGCCGAGCAGTCATCACAATCGCCGCCGCATGGGTGTTGCAAACCACGTTGCGGGTGGGTGGGTGGGATTACCGCGCGAGCAGTGGAGTTGAGAACTCACTCGTAAGCACTGCATTCGTTATTCACGCCACACACGCACACTGCACCACACCGGTTGCACAAAGAGGTTGATAGAACACTCACACTGTTCGGGGTCCACGATGGCTAAACCTTACTCTTAGGCTGGACCTGTCCCCCAATAAGCCGATCTTGGACGAAAACTAAAACATACGCAAAACATATGCCCCAGATCATATTCCCCAGAAGTCGCAAGACAAATAAGAAACAAAACATCACAAAAGTGCACAAGTGGTCCCCAGACGATTTTCCGACTATTTTTGAATTATCCTTCTGTAGAAGGACGCGCCCGACTTAAACTTACTCCCATCATTGCGAGGGGCCCACAGCCCCGAGTTCTGGGCCCTCCTGGGCGCGTCGGAGGCCCCCCGCGTTGCTCCACAGGCCAGAAAGTAAAAAGACGCGCGTCCCGCAAGGACCTCAAGATGGTCCTAGAAGGCCCCAAGACAACCCAAGAGCGCTCCAAGACGCACAAGATGGCCTCAAGACAGCGCAAGGCTCCCCAAAGACGCCTCAACAGCGCTCTAAGCGTCACCCCGAAAGGACCCCGAGAAGCGCAAACATTGAACGATGTTCCATTGGTGTTTGAATGATGTGGGCTTTCTGGCCTTTTCGGCCTTCCGACGCTCCAGCACGGCCCAAGATGACTCCAAGATGCCCCAAGACTGCCGAAGAGGCACCCAAGAGGGCCCCAAGACGGCCCAAAAGAGCTTCAAGACAGCCCGAGAGGCCTCCAAGGCGGCCCCAAGGGAACACGAGCTTACAGGTTGAGCCTTCCGCCCAAAGATGGCCCCCAGGACCTCCAACTCGCCCCCAAGATGGCCCCCAAGAAGCCCCAGGAGGCCCCCAAGAAGCCCCCGAGAAACCCGAAGCAACATCACGACTGCCTACAGGAGGCCTACGCGAGGCCTCCCAAGAGATCCCAACAGGCACCCGGGAGACCTCGGACCTACAACTCAAACAGAAACTGCTGGCGTGCCAAGTCTCAAACGTGAGAACCCTTTTTCCAACATGCTCCTCACGGGGTCTCGGCCAATCCTGCAGGCCACCCGGAGGAGAGCCCAGGCGAGGTGCACTGCGGCGGCTGTATCCTGCCAGGAGACTCGAAGGACGGCCAACATGGCACCCAAGAGACGGTCGCAAGACGCCTCCCAGATGGCCAGGATGGCTCCGAGAGGGCCGACGATTCCACCAAGACGGCACAAGATGACCACTAGACGGCCCACTGCGAGACTGCAGCATCACTGCGGTTTTCGCCTGCCTTGGCTTCCGACAGCCCAAGACAGCCCCAAGGGCCCACATCAGCCCCAAGACGGCCCAAGAGGACCAGCAAGAAAACCCACGACGGGCCAAAAAGGCCCCGAGACGGCCCAAGAGGCCCCCAAGACGGCCCCCATAACGCCCAAGAAACCCCAATATTGCCCTGAAGCGCCCAAGGGAGCCGAGAACGGACCAGAGAGGCCCCCAGGCGGCCTTTCAAGGCGTCAGACGCGTCGAGAGAATCACGAGACGGCCACAGGGGCCCCAAGGACGCTCCCATGAAGCTCCAAAAGACACACCCAATGGGCCCCAGGAGGCTCCCAAGAGGCTCGCCTGGACCACCAGGAATCCCCAAGAGGGCGTCAAAAAGTTTCCTTTTCCTCCTCCTCCTCCTCCTCCTCCTCCACCTCCTCCTCCTCCTCTTCCTCGTCCACCTCCTTTTCCTCCTCCTCCTCCTCCTCCTCCTCCTCATCATCATCATCATCATCATCATCGTCATCATCATCACCACCATCAATAGCAGCAGCAGCATCACCATTCTTATAATATCCACCATCATCATTCCCATTTACAGCATCAGCATCCGCATCAGCATCATTATTATCAGCATCGTCATCATCATCGCCATCGTCGCCATCAGAATAAGCATCACCACCATAATCAACAGCACCATTACCATCACATCAACATCAGCACCCGCATCAGCATCATCACCATCATTATCATCATCATCAGCAACATCATCATCATCATCATCACCATCATCAGTGTATTCCTCTCCACCAACCTCCATTTTGTCCCCAACCATCCTGCGGTGTTTGGTCCTCGTTTGGAAAAGACGGCGCCCGCGTTCCTCATCCCTCCTTCTTTCCTGCCCCTCCTCCCACTCATCCCACTCATCCCTGCGTGCCTCCCACCCAGTGCAGCGCTTCGTGGCCCCATAAGGAGCTCAACCGAAGCACCAAGTGGCAGGGTTCGCATGGCGGCATCGGGCCATTCGGCACACCCCTCGCGAGGATCGTGGCCGCGTAGGAAGCTCCACCGACGGCGCCAGCGGCAGGGTTCGCGCGGAGGCCTCGGGCCATTTCGGCACACCCCTCACGAAGATCGTGGCCCCATCGGGAGCTCCACCGAAGGCGCCAGCGGCAGGGTTCGCACGGCGGCCTCGGGCCATTTCGGCACACCCCTCACGAGGACCGTAGCCCCATGGGAGCTCCACCGAAGGCGCCAGCGGCAGGGTTCGCATGGCGGCCTCGGGCCATGTCGGCACACCCCTCACGAGGACCGTGGCCCTATAGGGACTCCACCGAAGGCGCCAGTGGCAGGGTACGCACGGCGGCCTCGGGCCATTTCGGAACAACCCTGACGAGGATCGCGGCCTCATCGGAGCTCCACCGGCAACGCCAAGTGGCAGGGTTCGCATGGCGGCCTCGGGCCATTCCGGCACACCCCTCACGAGGACCGTGGCCCTGTGGGGACTCAACCGAAGGCCCCAGTGGCAGGGTTCGCGCGGCGGCCTCGGGCCATTTCGGCACACCCCTCACGAGAACCCTGGCCCCGTAGGAAGCTCCACCGAAGGCGCCAGTGGCAGGGTACGCACGGCGGCCTCGGGCCATTTCGGCACACCCCTCGCGAGGATCGTGGCCCTGTAGGAACCCCGCCGACGGCGCCAGTGGCAGGGTTCGCATGGCGGCCTCGGGCGATTTCGGCACACCCCTCACGAGGATCGTGGCCCCATACGGGTTCCACCGAAGGCGCGCGCGGCAGGGTTCGCACGGCGGCCTCGGGCCATTTCGGCAAACCCCCCGCGAGGATCGTGGCCCTATAGGAGCTCCGCCGACGGCGCCAGTGGCAGGGTTCGCATGGCGGCCTCGGGCCATTTCGGCACAGCCCTCACGAGGATCGTGGTCCCTTAAAAAACGGCGCCAGTGGCAGGGTTCGCACGGCGGCCTCGGGCCATTTCGGCACACCCCTCACGAGAACCCTGGCCCCATAGGAACCCAACCGAAGACGCCACTGGCAGCCTCCCTCATGGCTCTCCGAGCCCTCTCCTGCATCTGTTCCTCGGTCAGGGGGACGCCGTCATCGTCGTCGTCGGCGCCCGCGAAAGCGGCCACGAACGCGTCCCTGAGCAAGTCGGGTTCCGGCGGGAAGCCGTGGCCACATAGAGAGCGCGGGCGAAGGTGGTGTTCATAACTGCGGTGTTCACAACTGCGCATGGTTGGGTGCTTCGCCAGGCTAATTTTCCTTCCTCCCCAGAGTGTTCCCCTCAGAAGGGGTCCACACCGGCTGGCGGAACACATGGTTCAACAGCTTCACCAGACGTTGGCCCAATGTTTGGCAGCGAAGGCGATTCCAAAAGGCAGGGGGGGCGGCGGCTCGCAGTAGACGTCTTCGATCCGCCGCCCCCTTTGTATTGCCACAGGGATGCGTGGAGTGGCAGATGTTCGAGGTCTTGCTGACCCTTCCAAAATATTCCCACTGGCCTCTGGCTGAGTCGCTGGCCATCCAGGAGACAAAACGACCTTCCTCCGCCTCCCCGACGCCCAAGATGGCCTCATCCAATATGGCCCCCAATACAACCCGGTCCGAGATAGCCTCCCAGACGGTCCAAAACGCCTCAAAGATGGCAAAGATGGCCTCCAAGTCGGGCGCGACGACTCTAAGACGGCCCACGATAAATTAAAAAAAATAGCCTCACATGACATCTACGACGCTCCACATGTGGTCCTAGAGGTCATCCAAGAGGACTCGAAGAGGTCAAAATCATTGACTTGGTGCGTTTGGAATGATTTGGCCGCTCTCGCCTGCAAGGGCTCCAACCGGCCCCCGAGGTGGCCCTAAGACAGCCTCAGAGGCCCCCAAGCACCAAGACTCACCAAGAGACCCCCAAGAGGGCCCCGAGACGGCCCGAGAGGCCCCGACGACGACCCTGGAGGCCCCCGAAACGGTCCCATGAGGGCCCCCAGGCGGAGCAGAGATGCCCCCAGACAGCCTCCGAAGACCAAGAGGCCTTTTCAGGCCCCCAGAGGCTCACAAGAGGCCCCAGGAGGCCCCCAAGAGGCTCTACGAGGCCCTTAAGAGACCCCAGTAGCCCCCTAGGAGGCACCGAGAGACCCCCGAGTGGCCTACTCTGCGCCCTCCTCCTCCTCCTTCTCCTCCTCCTCCTCCTCCTCCTCCTCCATCACATCCTCCTCCTCCTCCTCCTCAATCACCTCCTCCTCCTCTTCCTCCTCCTCGTCCTCCTCCTCCTCTCCTCCCCCTCCTCCTCCTCCTCCTCCTCCTCCTCCTCCTCCTCCTCCTCCTCCTCCTCCTCCTCTTCCTCCCCCTCCTCCTTCTCCTCCTCCTCCTCCTCCTCCTCCTCCTCCTCCTCCTCCTCCTCCGCCTCCTCCTCCTCCTCCTCCTCCTCCTGCTCTCTCCCTCTCTCTCTCTCTCTCTCATTATCTCGCTCTCTCTCCTCCCCAAGTTGTTCCCCCAATGGCTTCCACAGCGGCTGGAAAGCACGTCGCCCAACAGCTTGGCTAGATCTCGACCCGACGTTTGGCCACATGGGCGCTTCCGCAATGCAGGGGGCGACAGATGAATTCCAGCCTCGGATCCTCGCCGAGCGCCGATGTCGACGTCAGGTCCGCAATCTCAGAGAATGCGCTCAGGATAGGGCGCCCGCGGGGGCGGGCAGCAGGCGGGAGCGGGCGCGATGCCACGGGCGGAGCGGGCGGCGACTCCAGCTTCTCCTCTGAAGGGCAACGATAGAGGGGACTGGCATAGGGGGGGATGCATCAACCTGGAATCGGCGATACATCGCCGATAGATCGGCGATAGGCCCCCGATAGTGAATCCGCACCTTCCCGTGCAGGTTGGGGCTGTCGGGCCCCTATCGGCGATCAGTGGGCGATGGGGGGCCGGTGCCTCCCCCCTGTGCCTATCACCCCCATATCGCTGCCCCCGATCCTCGTCCCCGTCGATGTCGGTGATGCTCACGCTCGTCTTGCCGCCCCTGTCCCCCTGGTGTGGACGCCCGAAATGGGCACGGAAACAATGGGCACAATGCCCAACAGCAATTGTTGCCCCGAACCAACAGCGGCCGCTGTTGGGCAGGCGGCCTTCTGTCTCAAATGGACACAGGCCGCGGCGGCGCGGACAGCGAGTCCTGTTCAAAACGAACAGGAACTGCTGTTGGGCATCGTACCCATTCTTTCCGTGCCCATCTCGTTCGTGCAGACCTGCAAGTCTATGATGCTCATCTGCCGGGCGCCGCGGCCGCGGCCCGGGTGAAGGCAGCGCCTGGAGCGGCCGGACGCGCGCGGGAGCAGCCCGAGGCCAGAGCCTGGCACGAACCCAGCGCTGCATGACTTCCCCGGGGGGCGTAGGCGACCCGAGGAGGAGGAGGAGGAGGAGGAGGAGGAGGAGGAGGAGGAGGAGGAGGAGGGGGAGGGGGAGGGGGAGGGGGAGGAGGAGGAGGAGAAGGAGGAGGAGGAGGAGGAGGAGGAGGAGGAGGTGGAGGTGGAGGAGGAGGAGGAGGGAGGAGGACGAGGAGGGAGGAGGAGCAGGAGGAGGAGAAGGAGGAGGAACGGCCGCCTAAGGCCTTCGGAGAAACCAGCCACCGATGCCCCGGGACCCCACCCTGATGTTCCGGTCGCGACCGACGAGATCGGTCGCTACCGAGTTTGCTCGTAATGCAGCTATCAGTCGTGACCAGATTTGCGTCAAACTCGGTCGCGACCGATTGTGGACTCGGTCGTGATCGGTCGCGACTGATTTGGAATGTCGATCGGTCGCTACCGATCGTAAACGAATTGTCTTGGCGAAGGGCTCAACCATATGCAATTTCAAGTGCCGCGAGGCAAGCGAGCAGAAGGATGGGGACGAGCGAAAGGACGGGCGAAGGCGGCGCCGTGCGAACCCTGCCGCTGGGGCCATGCTGAAATTAGCGAGGGGACGCATGCGAATCCTGTCAGTGGCGCCTTGGGTAGAGCTCCGTTTGGGGCCACGATGCATGCAAAGGTACGCCGAGATGGGCAAGGGGAGGCATGCGGACCCTCCCACTGAGGCCTTCGGTGGAGCTTCCTGTGGCATGCGGGGTCTTCGGTGGAGCTCCCTATGGGGCCACGATCCCCGTGAGAGGTGTGCCGAGATTGGCGAGGATCATGCGGACCCCGCCAGTGGGGTCTTCGGTTGAGCTCCCTATGGGGCCACGATCCTGGTCAGAGGTGTGCCGAAATGATCGAGCGGACGATGCGGACCCCGCAACAAAACCCTTTCGGTGGACTCCCGATGGGACCACGGTCATCGTGAAGGGTGTGTCGAAAGTGGCGGGGGACCGCATGCGGACCTTGCCACTGGGGCCTTCGGCAGGGACCCCTCTTTTTTGGACAGCCAATGACCAACGTACCACTAGTGTCCACGACTTGCAGTGTCAGCTTCAGATCCGCTTCCCCTCGTGGGGGCTATAGCCGCATCCATCGGAAACACTCTAGGGCACGAGAGCGACAGCGCGCTACAGAGGACGGCAGGGTAAACGTCACCACAATCAGGGAAGAGGAGCAGGAAGAGGAAGAGGAGAAGGGGAATACCGCTACCGACTCAGCGGTACGCCTTCGGCAGGGATCCCTGCAGGGCCACGAACAGTTTGTCGGGCGTGCCGAAATTGACGGGGTGGCACATGCCGACACTGCCACGGAAGCCATCGGTGGAGCTCCCTTTCAGGCAACGACCCACGTGAGGGGGAAAAAGAAGGCGCCGTGGGTCCAGTAGGCACGTGAACAACCCACAGGGCGCAGACGAAACATCCGCGCGCGTGCGAGCAGGGCCAACCGCTGCCTCGAGGTGAGGGATGGCGCGAAAAGCGACGAGGAAGCACTTGTGGTCGGAGCGCTGAGCTGCTGTTCACCCTTACGCGAACAGCTCGCTCCTCCCCCGCCCAAGTGCGGGTCGGGGGGATTCCGTGAGCACCCGGCTTGCTGCTAGCACCCCGTGCCGTCCGCGATGGACAGCCACTTGGGCCAATCAAGGCTGCCAGGCGATCTTAATGTAAGAAACTCCCAAGTTAACTCCAAATTCTGGCTGATCTGCGTTTGTTTTTACCCTGAACCGTTGCAGCCCCAGCAACGCGAACTATCTTCACTGAAAATAACCTGGGCGTTCGGACGCTATACCCATTGTAGCCCCCCTATGGAGCCGTAGACGGCAATGGGATGCCAACGCCGTGCGATGCAAGGCACTGGAGGCAACAGGGGTTGCGCGCGCCGTGCGATGCAACAAACTGGAAGCAAAAGATCATGCACCACTGGTTTTCCTAACAGTGCTGGCAGGCTCCTGGCGAGAAAGAGGAAGGAGGAGGAGGAGGAGGAGGCGGAGGACGAGAAAGCGGAGGAGGAGCGGGGCGAGGGGGCCGTGCGAAGAGGGGGGGGTGAAGACGGGGGAGAAGCGAGAAACAAGAGGAAAGGAAAAAGAAAACACGGAGGGGGTGGAGGAGCGGAGGGAGACGGAAAGGAAAGAGCCAGGGCGGCGGAATGGCGCGAGGGCCAGAATCAGCTGCGCATCAGCGGGATTGGCTGTAGTCCCACGCTGGTCGCCTCCACGCGGACGCTGGGAACGCGGCAGTATAAGGCAACTCCGGAACACGATGCGCACGTGCATGCAGAGCGTGTCTGCGAACTTCCTGGGACCATACCGCGCGGGAGCGCCCACGTCCGCGACGCGCAGGCGGGCCTTAAAGCTCAACAGCCCGCGGCTTGAATACAACGTTGCACACAGGATGACTATCGCTTACCCTCGCGACTGTCCAGACAGAATCATGCGGCGCTCTGATAACATTGTGCTCAATCGAATTTCTTTGGCTTGCTCAGCTGGGAAACATGTGGCCGGTCAACCGGCTTATGCACAAATGCGGGGCGTGTGAAAAACTTCTACGACAACGCGTTTGAAACGCACCCAACATGGACAGCTCTGCCATTTCCAGCCATGCGGTGTGGACAATGCGCATCAACTTCGGCACCACGTATGCGTTGAATATCTAGATCTTTCTGGCCAGCGGGAGGTAGGAATGAGACGAGACCTTATCCTATTTGCCGAACCTGGCCCTTGCAACTCCCAATCGTCTGGCGAGCTCTGCGCCGACGGCTCCAAACTAAGACAGCACGCTGCCGAGGTACAGAATGCTGTCCTTTTTGGGCGACCGTGTTTCCGTCTTGCTTCTCGATGCTTGTGTCTCCCCGCACGGGCAGCAGTTCTAGTTTTACGCCAAATGTATGTACTTCAGTCCGTAATTGGGCCCAACAACTGCGATAGCCCGCATGCGTTCGGAGGCCTGGTCCTGGTCCCCTGTCGAACTTAAGGTGTCGTCCGCGTAGACGAGATGCCTGACGTTCAATCCACCCTTCCCCATTGAGCATCTGGCGTACTTCATTCGCACAGTCCTTAGAATAGAGAACAGGAAGGGTGATAAAAGGACAGCCTTGGCATATTCGTGCGCGCTGTCCCCGCATGGTTTAGGTCTGCGGAAACAGGAGCGGCGGTCGGTGTAAATCGCGCCCACCGCGTCGAACATTTGTCCGGCAGGCCAAAACGTCGCAGCGCAAATAGGAGCGCCGCAAGACCAACGATCTCAAACGCTTTCGCCCAGTCCAGAGCACGGAAAATTGGCGTGGCATCCTTCGAGTCCCAGACCCCCTCCAGAAGCCAGCCACTGGGCCATGAATATGGAATCGGTGATGCCGTATTTGGCCGATCAGAGGAGGAGGAGGAGGAGGAGGAGGAGGAGGAGGAGGAGAAGGAGAAGGAGGAGGAGGAGGAGGAGGAGGAGGCATGCGTTGATCAAACGCGCTCCAGGCTTGTGATGGGGTGCTCCGAAGTGCGCAGGGGAACGCAGGAGGACCCTTCCGCTGGTGCCGTCGGCGGAGCTCCCTATGGAGCCACGATCCTCGTGAGGAGAAGGAGGAGGAGGAGGAGGCGGAGGAGGGGGAGGAGGAGGAGGAGGAGGAGGAGGAGGAGGAGGAGGAGGAAGAGGAGGAGGAGGAGGAGGACGAGGAGGAGAAGGAGGAGGAGGAGGACCAGTGTAAACGCAATAATCATCAACGATGTTGCAATTAACCCTCCCTCCAAACTCCCTCTTCACAGGCCCCGACAAGGGTTCATGCCCATTGAGGGAACTGCCGCGTTGGAAGACAACCGTTTGAAGATCCTGAAGAATGCCCAAACATTGCTCTCGAGATTTCAACGCCACGTATCAACATGACTGCTGCGTCTTGACGATCCGGAATCGTGCCAAAGCGCAATTTTTGGGACTCCGACACAACGGATCAACAGAACTGTTACACCCGCATAATCCTGAATCCTTCGAGAGCAGCAGTTCTGCTACGCTGATCACGAGAATCCGTGAAACTCTTGCATCTGCTCAAAACGAATATGCGCGGCGCAAAGGCGAGAACCACGTTTTGAAAAGAACCGCCCTCAATCCGTGAAGCTCTGGCAAATGTTCAAAACGAATGCACGCGGCGCTAAGGCGAGAGCCTCTTTTTGAAAACCACCCGCCCTCAATCCGTGAAACTCGTGCAAATTTGTAGAACGAATGCGCGCGGCGCTAAGGCGAGAGCCACATGTTGAAAACGACCCGCCCTCAATCCGCGAAACTCTTGCAATTTGTTAAAACGAATGTGCGCGGCGCTGAGGCGAGAGCCACATGTTGAAAATCACCCGCTCTCAATCCGTGAAACTCTTGCAATTAGTTAGTCCGAATGTGCGCGGCGCTAAGGCGAGAGCCACATGTTGAAAACGACCCGCCCTCAATCCGTTAAACTCTTGCAAATGTTGAAATTTACACTAGGGAAAACCCAATATGTGGATGATTTGCAAATTAATACGATGGATCTTGAGATCGATTGTAAGATCGATTATGAAATCGATAGTGGAATCGAAAGTGAGGACAGTGTAAGGTCGATCGTGAGACCGAGAGTGAAATCGATTCAATGAGATTGATAGTGAGACCGATCACGAGACCGCTCATGCAATCTCTAGTGAGATCGCTTGTGAGATCAATAATGAGATCGATTGTGGGATCGATGGTGATATCGATAGAGAAGTGGGTAATGAGATCGATTGTGGGACCGATCGATAAGAAGATCGACCAGGAACCCGGACCTCGGGAACCTCGCCGCCCTCCGAAATCGGCCCGGAACCCGGAACCGGGAACCCGGGAACCCGGAACCGGGAACCCAGGAACCCAACGTGCGACCAAAATCGGCGGGACACTTTCGCCAAAGCCTTCAACTTCCGCGAGGACCCCT